TCTTTGGTAGTTGGGTGGAATATTCTGTATATATGTTAGGTCCATTTCATGTAGTATGTCATTTAATTCAGATGTCTCTCTGTTTATTCTTTGTCCAGTTGACCTGTCTATTGAAAAAAGTGGGGTATTAAAGTTACCCACTATCACTGAGTTCATGTCAATCTCTGTTTCATATTCCTGGACTACTGATTTTATGAAACTGAGTGCATCTATGTTCGTGATTATAATATCTTCTTGGCCAATTGTTCCTTTGATTAGAATGAAGTAACCCTCCTTATCTCTTCTGATGCGTTTTAACTTGAAGTCTATTTTGTCAGTTATTAAAATTGCAACACCTGCTTGCTTCTTAGGGCCATTTGCTCGGAATATTTTTCTTCCATCCTTTCACTCTAAGATAGTGTATCCCTGAAGGGGAGATGAGTTTCTTGAAGACAGCAAAAAGATGGGTTTTCTTTCTTGATCCATTGCACCAGCCTGTGTCTTTTGACAGGGGAGTTGAGCCATTGATATTTAGTGTTATTATTGAAAGGTATATATTGTATACTGTCATTTTAATTTCTTTGGGTTTGTGCCATATTTTGGGTTTCTGTTGTTATACCTTTATTTTCTTTCTGTAGCCTCTTGGACATATTCATTCCTTTCTTCGGTCCTTTGTATTGCTTTAAGTAGTCTCTGTAGCACTGGTTTGGAAGACATGAATTCTTTCAGCCTATTTGTCATGGAAAATTTCCTGCTCCCCTTCGACCTTGATAGATAGTTTCACTGGATAAAGTATTCAGGATTGGCATCCATGGTTGTTTAGAACTGGGAATATTTTGTTCCAGTCTCTTCAAGCTTTCATAGTTTATATTGAAAAGTCAGCTGTTATTCTGATGGGTTTTCCGTTATATATAATTTGTTGTTTTTCCTCTAGCAGCTTTCAGTACCCTCTCTTTGTTCTGTACATTTAATGTTTTTACTATGATATTTCGTGGGGACTTTCTGTCTGAGCATGTCTAAATGGTGTTCCCTGTGCTTCTTGAATCTCTATACATATAGGTTTCTTTAGTTTAGGGAAGTTTTCCTCTATGATCCTATTGAAGAACTGTTCGATGCCATTGGTTTGAGTTTCTTCTCCTTCCTGCATGCCTATAATACACAGATTTGGTCATTTCTTGTTGTTCCACATTTCCTGAGTATTCCATTCCTGTGGTGTTTTTTTGAATTCTGCATAACCTTTGCTTAAGGGGTCCAAATTTTCAACTTTATCCTGCAGTCTTGATATTCTGTTTTCCGTTTCATTCATTCTGCTTGTGAAACTTTCTCCTGTTGTTTCTAATTGCTTCAGACTTTCACTCCCGTGTTCATTTCCATTTAGGTTTTCTTCACTATTTCTATCTCTTTAGTGAATTCACTTTTCAAGTTATGAATTGTTTTTGATATTTCATTAAGTTGCATATTTGTATATTCTTGATCTTCCATCAAAAGTTTATGCTTTTCCTCTTTGAGTTCTTTGATTTGTTTGTGTTTTCTTAAAGTTCTTTGATTGTGTTTATGATTATTCTTTTAAATTCTGTGTCCTGGGGTTCTACAGGATGGTTCTCAATGCTGTGCACTTCTGTAGGACTCGTGGGTTTTGTTGGGGACATATTTTCCTGGTTTTTCATATTGTTTGTGTTTTTGCATTGCCATCTGGGCACATGGATGTTCTTTGTTGGTTATGTGTTCAACAGGAACTTCTACTCTGCTTTTGTTTAATTTAATTTTGGTTCTGTTAATAATGTTTATGTAGCTTAGTTACTTTTTGTTTAGGTATAGAAGACAAATTGATGGGTATTTCAGGTACTTGCTGGGTAGTAGACTGGTCAGAGTCCTGACTGAGCAGGTCTTTCTGCCTGATCCAGAGGCTGGGAGTTTGGCGACGAGGGGAATCACTGGGTGAGGATTTAGAGATCTATGGTAGGTGATTAGTTAATCTGGTTTGGGGAGCTAGCCCTGGGACTTGTTGTGAGGGAATTGGAGCCTGCCTATGAGAGAGGTCTACAGGGGAATGAGTGGGGTGGATAAATAGACAAATGGTGTAGGGAGACAGTGAGTTTCATCTGACTTACCAGAGTCCTGGCTGAGCAGGTCTGTCTGCCTGATCCAGAGGCTGGGAATTTGGTGGTGGGGAGGGAGACCATGTGGGTGGGGATTTAAGGATCTATGGTAGGGTGATTAGTTAATCTGGTTTGGGAAGCTATCTTAGGACTTGATGTTTAGGAATTTGGGCCCGCCTGTGAGAGTGGCAGGCAGGGGATGGAGTCAGCTCAGGGTGGATGAGAGAAATGGGGTAGTGAGGCAGTGAGCTTGATCTGCCAGAGCCCTGGCTGAGCAGGTCTGTCTGTCTGATCCAGAGGCTGGGAGTTTGGAGGTGAGGGGACTGCCTGGATGAGGACTTAAGAGATCTATGGTAGGGTGATTAATCTGGTTTGGGAAGCTAATCCTGGGACTTGATGTGAAGGGATTGGAGCCAGCCTGTGAGAGAGGATGGCAGGGGATGGAGTGAGGGTCAATGAGAGATGGTATTTTTTACTAATATGCTCATTTTTGTCTCCCTGCCCCTCAAGGTCAGTTTTAGCTGCAGCTCTCAGATTTTGTATTCATGGTCTCATTTTTATTCTGTTATTTTCTACTTCCCCTACTTTCCCCTTGGAAAGTATTGCAAGCATGCTGCCCAATTTCCAAATAATGGAGGCTTTTTCAGATGTTAATTATTAGTCTAATTTCTATATGGTTTGGGAATATATTTTGTTATTTCTGTCTTTATTTTTTGCAGAGCTGGCTGTGTGATTTCTGTCATCTTAATTCTATTGAGCCTTCTTTCATGGATCCAAAATGTAATCAGTTATGGTAAATGTTCCACATGCACTTGAAAAGTGTGCTCTGCTTTTGTTCCAGTGTTCTATAAATATTACATCAAGCTGGTTGGTAGTGTTGTTCAAGACTTCTGCAGCCTCGTTTCTACTTGGTCCATCAATTACTGAGACAGGAGTGTTTGACTCCACCTATGGTTTCTTTCTCCTTTTAGATCTATTCATTTTTGCTTCATATGTTTTGAAGCTCTGTGCTTCAGATTATAAGATTATATAAGGGACTAGTACCCTTTAAGGCATCTGTCTTCTTTAAGACAGAGTCTCACTATGTTACCAAGGCTTGGATTCCAACTTGCTATCCTGCTTCAGCTTGTCAAGTAGCTAGGACTAGAGGAAAACACCACTGTGCCCAGAGTAAAGTCTTTAAAAAAATTGTGTGCACACTTGTGTGGTGTGTGAATATACACACATATGTGCTGTGCATGTGGAGGCCAGATGTTGGTGTCTTCTTCTGTCATTCTCCATTTTATTTTTTAAACATTTTATTATTTTTATGTGTACGAGTGTGCCTGCATGTGAAGTGCACCTGTGTCATGCAATGCCCATGGAAGTCAGAAGAGGGTGTCAGACCCCTTTGAACTGGAATTACAGATGTTAGCTGCTACGTGGGTACTGGGATCTGAACTCAGGTCTTCTTCAAGAGCAGCCAGAGCTCTTAATCATGGAGCCAGCTATCCAACCCCCTTTATCTTATTTTTTGAGACAGGATCTCTCACTGAACCTGGAGATTACTGTTTGGGTTAGACTGGCTGACTGGCAAGGCCCCAGGATCCACATGTCTGTCTTTCCAGCAGTGGGATTATAGATATGCTCCACCATGTTCAGTTCTTTTGTGTGGTGGGGATATGAACTCATGCTTGAGGAGCAAGCATTTTACCAGCTGAACTATCTTCCCAGCCTGAATTTGTCCTTCAATTGGTATTGAAGGTATTTGCAACATTGGGCTCTGCATACTACAATACTGACCTTCCAGACAAGATGAGCCCATTTGTGCAATACTGCCATGACTGTTAGGGGGTAATCAACAACTTTCTGATTAGATCTGAGGCCTGCTCCATAGGAAGGAATTCATGCCTAGTACTGCAAACCTGATCAAAAGCCCATGGCTAGGGAGGTCATGGGCCCAAGGGGGAGGGAACCTACTACTGTTGTTTTGCTAAATGGTCATATTGTCAAACTGCCTTTTAAATATTTGTGTTTATGCTTATTGTACATTAGTGGTGCTCTTAACCTTGGTCAGAGAAGCTTTGCTACATACCATCTCCTACCCAGCGGGCAGCAGTTACTACTGAGACTACTAACTGGTCAAAGTGCTGGTGACTGTTGAGTGCTCAACCCTAAATGGGACATCGATATCAAATGCTCCAACTCCACACCCCATCCCAAGGTTCAGAGAACATCATGGAAGAGGGATGGAAAGAATGCAAGAGCAGGAGGATATGGAGGAGACTGGTGAAATGCTGTCTTCTGGACATGACATGCCTGTTGTACTCATAATTCACAGCAGCTATGGTCATCTGGACATGATCAAGCCAGCCAACATTCTATCATGGTGGAGGGACCCATGAGGCTCCATCTCTAGCTACTGGTAGTTGATGGTTGCTCATGCTCCAGTGGAAGGCAGCCAACACCCATGTGCATACAGGAGCCACTAACTGGATTCTGTAGGATATTACAAAATGAAACATTCCATTAAAACATATCCATTTGATCAGTCACATTTGGTGACTGGCTGCTATGTACAGAATGCACTGCTGTTGGTACCATGCCTCACCCCAACCTGCCCAATACTAAATAAAATCTGATTTGGTTCTCCTTCCTCAATTTCGTAACTCCTATGATTTTAGGTACATACAGTTTTTTAAAAAAATTTTTATTATTTTTATTTTATGTGTATGCGTGTATTGCCTGCATGTAGGTAAGTGCACCCATGTCATGCAATGCCTGTGGAGGACAGAAGAGGCTGTCGGATCCCCTGGAACTGGAGTTACACACAGTTGTTAGCTGGGATTCGAACGCGGGTCTTCTGAAAGAACAACCAGTGTTCTTAACCACTGAGCCATCTCTCCAGCCCCAGTTTAAAAAATTTTTAAGAGTTACAAAAGAAACAAAAAAAATGTTCTCCTTACTTTATTAAACCATACTAGTATTTTCTCAGGGACAAACATACAAACAAGCAGGCTACAGCGAAGAAATCTTGTTTTTGTGACAGAGTTTGGAAGTGACAAGATATTTAAAGATATTCTCTTCAGTGATGCTTCTTATTCTTGCTCTGGGATTCCAGGATATATTCAGCCCCTAGTGCTACCACAAATGCAGCAAATCCCCATTTGAATCCTTTAAATATTACACCCAGGAAGGAAACATTTTCTGCAAAGCCACCCATGTATCGCCAAGCTTCATTGCTGAAAGAAAAAAAAAACAGGGAAAATTATAAACACATAAGATTCAAGCATACTCATGGAACAAAAGAGATTTGATTTGCCTCTTTCTAAAATACTTAAATGTTACATTGTTATTATTACTTGCTTTTTTGAGACAAGCTTTCTCTCACTCTGTAGGCCAGGCTGATCTCTAACTTGTGATGATCCTCCTACATCTGACTTCTGAATGCTGAGATTAGTGGCATGAACCACCACACTTGGTTCAAATGCTACAATATGTAATACAGTAGGTTATAGTAGGAACATTTCTGTAGCATAGGATAATTAAGAACATGTGGCCAAGTTTCATGTATAAAATATAAAACAAAAACCCAACCAAACAAAACACTCGATGATTCTGCACTTCATAGTCACTGTACTCAGAATGTTACAGAGCTCCAGTGACCAGTGTACTTAGGTTTGTCTTCACAGGTTAGCTGGTAGCTTCCGGTTCTGTTCACAGTAGTCATTTCCATACCATGGAAAGATAAATTTAGAGAACCAGGAATTAACTTTTGCTCTGCTACTGATAGATTTATAACCTTTAGGCTGGGCAGGATACATAACCTGTCAGGATCTGCTTGGTCTTCTGTCCAAAGCTGATTATCTACTCATGGTATTGTCATAAAGATGGAACACTCAGGCTGGAGAGATGGCTCAGCAGTTAAGAGCACTTACTGCTCTTGCAGAGGATCTGGGTTTGGTTCATGTCTGTAATCTCAGCACTCAGCACATGCATGGCAGCTAAAAATGGTCTACAACTCCAGTTCCAGGGGATCCAATGCCCTCTTCTGGCCTCTGCAGGCAACAGGCACACACATGATGCACATACATACATGCAGATAATACACTCATATATAAAAAATAAAGGTTTTAAAAAACGTTATGAAGGACAAAATCTATTTAACTAAAAAAAATCTGCTATAAAATATGGAAATACAAGAAATCTTACTTGGATTCCAGAACCACATGAAGATATTAGAAGGAAACTACAGAATAATATCCCTAATGGACATACAGATAAATATTGTTTTTTTTTTTGGTCCTTTTTTTGAGACAGGGTTTCTGTAGACCCAGCAGGCCTGGAACTCGCTATGTAGACTTAGGCTATGTAGATCAGGCTAGCCTTGAACTCACAGAGATAGACCTGCCTCTGCCTCCTGAGTGCTAGGACTAAAGATGTGTGCCACCACTCCCAACAAATATTCTTTAAAAAAATTTTTTTTTAAATTTAATTTTATGGGCATGAGTGTTTTGCCTGCATGTAAGTGCACCTGTACATGCAATGCCTACAGAGGCCAGAGGAGTGTGTCATCCACCATGTGGGTGCTAGGAACAGAACCTGGATCCTCTGCAAGAACAGTCAGTGCTCTTAACCACTGAACTATCTCTCTAGTCCCTAGATGTATTCTTTTTTAAAAACAATATTTTATTATTTTTCTTTTATGTGTATGAGTGTATTGCCTGCAGTATGTAAGTGCACCTGTGTGTGCAATGCCTATGGAGGTCAGAAGAAGGTGTCAGATCCCCTGGAACTGGACTTACACATGGTTGTTAGCCACCATGTGGGTGCTGGAAATTGAACCAGGGTCCTCTGTAAGAGTAGCCAGTGCTCTTAACCATTGAGCCATCTCTCCAGCCCCAATGTAAACATTCTTAACTAAATTTTATGAAGTTAAAACCAGAGCTGGGCATGGTGGCAAACACCTTTAACCCTAGCACCCTGGAGACAGAGGCAGGTGGATCTCTGTGAGTTCAAGGCCAGCCTGGTCTACATAGTGAGTTCCAGGCCTGCAGCAACAGGAAGACCCTGTCTCAAAAAGACCAAAAAATAAATAAATAAATAAATAAATAAATAAATAAATAAATAAATAAATAAAATTAAAACCAGCAATGTACAAAAAAAGGTAATTCATCATGACAAGTGGGGCTCACCTTAGGGTAACAGGACTGGTTTATGAGTGATTTACCATAGTAACAGAACAAACAGAGGAAAAAGAGATGTCAACATTTCAATGGAAGGAAGGAAGGAAGGAAGGAAGGAAGGAAGGGAGGGAAGGAGGGAGGACTATCAATACAAATCAAGGTGGGATGAAAGCAAGAGCAGTGTTTGTCCAAAACAGCGCTCATCCATGTTCATGTTTCCAGAAGGTAAATCCCCATTCTGTACCAAAGCTCATTCAATTAGGAAAAAAGAAAAAGAAAAAAAACCCTCTAGTTTCTTTTTCTGTGTTAGTTACTACAATAACACAAGAAAAAAGTTTACAGATTGAAAAAATAAAGTAATACTGCCTCTGTAGATAAAACAATCATAAATGAAGAAAATTCTAAGGGACATATAAAAAATATACTAGAACAAAAATTTAGCAAGGTAATAAATGAATAGGATACAAGTCAGCACATGAAAATTAATTATAATTTTGTCAGAAAATTGCAAATTAAGATCTAAACAGCACCAAAATATGAGTAAATTCAACAAACATGTGCAAGGTCTATATAGAAAGCACAAAAGTATTGCTGAAAAAATTCAAAAGGACATAAATTCATGTACTGAAAGACTACATTATAAAGGTAGTAATTATCCCTCAACTGATTTGAATTTAATATAAATGTGAAATAGATTCATATTATGTTTTTGTATCTCATCTAAGATTTTATTTTGTATTTTCTAGCGTTTTCATTTTATTTATTTATCCCATAAGATTCCTTGATTAAAATTCAAGTAGGCTATTTATAGAAGCTGATAAACTCATACTAAAATTTATAGGCAAATGAAAAAGACCTAGAATAGCTAAACCAATGAAAGAAAATTGGAGATCTTACATTACCCTATTAAGATTGTGGTGTGGCCCTAAGTGTAGACATATTGATCAGAGAAACAAAACAGTATCCAGAAATAGACCATACAGATATGGTCAATTGATTTTTGACATATTTATCAAGGTAATTCAACTGGGGATAGTCTTTTAATAAATCATGCAGAAACAACTGGATGTCCATATGAAAGATTAGCCTCTCTCCTTTCTTCAATCCAAACAAAAACTAACTCGAAGTGAATCAAATACCTCAATTTAAGAAAACTGGAAGAAGCCAGTGGGGGGGGGGGGGGAGAGCCTTTAATCCCAGCACTTGGGAGGCAGAGGTAGGCAGATCTCTGTGAGTTCAAGGCCAGCCTTTTCTATGTAGCAAGTTCCAGGCTAGCTGGAGCTATGGGGAGACCCTATCTAAAAAATAAAATAAATAATAAATAAATATCTTTTAAAAGAGAGAGAGAAACAAAGAGAAAGAAAGAAAGAAAGAAAGAGAGAGAGAGAGAGAGAGAGAGAGAGAGAGAGAGAGAGAGAGAGAGAGAGAGAGAAAGAAAGGAAGAAAGAAAACTGGAAGCTGTGTGTGGTGACACATGCCTGAAATCCTTGTGCCCAGGACACTAAGACAGGAAGATCATGAGTCTGAGCCCAGCTTAGGCTGTCATAACAAGACTACCTCAAAAAGAATTTTTAAAAAGGTGGGCATGGTGGCACATGCCTTTTGGGAGGCAGAGGCAAACAGGTCAATCTCTATGAGTTTGAGGTCATAGTGAATTCCAGGCCAGTCAGGGCTGCATAGTGAGACTGTCTAAATAAAGAAACAATTAAGAAAATAAGAAAAGTTCTTAGAAAATTACAGGATAAAAATCTTAGATGAAGCCCAGCGTGGTGGCGCACACCTTTAATCCCAGCACTCAGGAGGCAGAGGCAGGCAGATCTCTTTGAGTTCCAGGCCAGCCTGGTCTACATAGCTGGGGCTATAGGGAGACCCTGTCTCAAAAAGACCAAAAAAAAAAAAAAACCAACAACAACAAAAAAAACCCAGCCATACCAACAAAATAAAAAATAAAAAAGGAAATTTATTGAAATTTAAAGTATCAAGAAAATAAAAACATGTCGTACTTTGAGAAAGAACATTTACAAAATTTATATCTGATAAAGGACTTATTTTCAGAATATATAAAGAACTGTTACAAGCTCAAAACAAGAAGTCAAAAAACCTGAAGGAGCTGGGAGTGGTGGCACACACCTGCGGCAGAGGCCAGTGGATCTCTGTGAGATTGAGGCCAGAGGCCAGCCTGGTCTACATAGCAAGTCATAACTGTAGAAAATTTTAGCAAAGGCATGAGCAGCAGGTGCCGAGACCCAGAGGAGGACAGCATCAACTGCAAAGGCACAAGGGCATAAGCGAATTTCTGGGCATAATATTTTGCATCCCGTTTTTGATGGTGGCTCTGTAACTTCACATTTGTAAAAACAGAATTATGAGTTAATTTAAAAAGGGGTGGATTGTACTGCACAAAAATGATACTTTAATAAAGCTAATTTAAAAAATTTTTAATGTAAAAAGCCATTTTTTCAAGATTCTTTACAGGAAAAGTACACTGAAAGGAATACAGATACTGATTCTCTAAGAGTAGCTCTACTTAAACTACTAGATTTGGTCTGGTAAGATGGCTCGGCAGGTAAAGGCACCTGCTACTATGCCTGACAGCCAGAGTTTGATCCCCAGGACCTACAAGTTAGGGGAGGACTTCCTCAAGTTGTCTCTGACCTCCACACTTGCACTGTGGCAGACAAACACTAACCCTCCAAAACCCCCAAATAAATAAATAAATAAATAAATAAATAAATAAATAAATGTAATTTAAGAAAGAAAGAAAGAAAGAAAGGAAAGAAAAAAAGAAAGAAAGAAAGAAAGAAAGAAAGAAAGAAAGAAAGAAAGAAAGAAAGACCCATCTTACCGGGCCCATGGGTCCCTTAGCCCCCGTGCAGCCAGCTTCTTCTGGACAGCTTCTAATGGTGTCCCTTCTATTTTCCATTGTCTGTAATCTGGAAGCTCCAATTTACTATGACCATGACCATGTCCATGACCATGCTCCTGTCCATGTCCAGGGGCCATGTCTACATGAAAAGAGCAGCATAAGGGAAAAACACAGATTGTAGATATCCAAATGGCAAATTTAATGCTTATGTTAGGGTGAAATAATACTTAAAAAAAAAAAGATAAACACTTGAAAATTATGAGTTAAGAGATTTAAAGTATACTGTTACATAGTGTATGTTCACAGTTAGGATGTATGCATACACAAAATATAAAAAAGAAAAATAATTAGTAATCCCACCACCCAGGATATACATTTACTATTTAGCTCCTTTAGTATTATAACAGTAAGCATTTACTGAGTTTTTATGTGCCAGATACACAATGCTTTACAGGTATTAACTGTATTACTCCTAAAACAACTTTGAATTCAATGAAAAATACACATTTTTCTAATAAATGAGAATGAGACTCTGAGCAGTAACTTCCTAAAGGCAATAAAAATAGTTAACAGTACAATTGGTACTTAAACCTTACAGTTTAGTTTCAGAACTCTTTTTTTTTTTTTTTTTTTTTCCGGTCTTTTTGAGATAGGGTCTCCCTGTAGCCCCAGTTGTCCTGGAACTCACTAAGTAGATCAGGCTGGCCTTGAACTCACAGAGATCTGCCTGCCTCTGAGGCATGTGCCACCACGCCCAGCTAGAACTCATCTTCTTAATTTATAAACAATACTATTTTCTTCTCCTTAGTCCTAACACATGAATATGTATAACAAAAATATACAAACTGTTTTGCCATCTTTCTTTAGTCCTTTTAAAAAAAATATTTTATTATTTTTATCTTACGTGTGTTGAATGTATTGCCTGCATGTGTGTAAGTGCATCCATGTGGTACAATGCCCATGAAGGTCAGAAGAGGGGGGTCAGATTCCTGGAACTGGAGTTACTGATGGTTGTTAGACGCCACGTGGATACTGGGAATTGAACCTGGGTCCTCTGGAAGAATAGATGGTGCTCTTAACTGCTGAGCTATCTCTCCAGCTCCCTCTTTAATTAATTTTTTAAAAATATAGTATTCTTTTAAATATGCATGATCACATGAACTTTTTCTGTATAGAACCAGATAATAAATATTTTAGGATTTGGGGCAAAAGAAATAAAATTGAAGATCTCAGGGAGAGAAGGAGAACACATTTCCAACAATATCTTATTGATAAAATCTAAAACATAAATACTAACCAAATACAATTCTTTATAATATAGGCCTGCTGATGAAAAAATGAAAACGTTTTATCTAAATGACTGTTCATGTTCATCTGTGTAAACCATTCTTAGCTCATGGGACACTGTGCTGGATTTGGCCACTGGTTTGGTTCACCAATTTAAGAACTGACCAACAGAGACCTTAAGACTCCTTTTTGACCAGTAAGTCTGCTTCCTAAATAGAATGTCCTTATTTAAGGTTTGTTTTGTTGGTCTTATTCTTATTTTTTTATTCATCTTTCTGAGACAAGGTCTCTTTTACAGTCCCACTAACCTGAAATTAGCTACATAGACCAGGCTGGCCTCAGTCTCACAGAGATCCACCTGCTTCTGCCTCCTGAGTGCTGGGATTAAACGTGTGCCTTCACACTCAGCTTTTGCGATTGTTATTTTTGTAAAAAATGTAAAAATAAACTTCATCTTGATTCTTATTTAAATTGATATTAATTTCAAATTCAGCTATGAATAATTGCTACATTATCATTTATATAAGGTTAGCAGTAAGAATTCTATAATTGCTGCCCTCCAGAAATAAAACCAAATCAAAATTACTATCATCATACCTAATTTAATACTATGAACAAGTCCAATAGTAAAACAGGATTTTTTTTTTTTTTTTGTCTTCTTGAAACAGGGTTTCCCTGTAGTCCCAGCTGACCTGAACTCACTATGTAGACCAGGCTGGCCTTGAACTCACAAAGATCTGCCTGCCTCTGCCTCCCAAGTGCTGGGGTTAAAGGTGTGCACCGTGTGCACCACCACGCCCGGCCTATGAAACAGGATTTCTTTTAAAAATTAGATTTTACAAGACAAAGGCAACTATCAGTGAGACATATGTAAAATGCTTATTTCATTAAACCGTAACACTAAGATGAGGAAAAAACTGAACACAGAAATCTACAAATTAACCAAAACTAAATAGCTAAAAATGGTAAGGAATCACAAAACATTACATCAATGATTTCCATATTTAAAAAATAAAAAATCAGGCTGGGTGTGGTGGTGCATGCCTTTAATCCCAGGATTCGGAAGGCAGAAGCAGGCCTTCTGTGAGTTCAAGGCCAGCCTGGTCTACATAGTGAGTTCCAGGCCAGCTGGGGCTACAGGGAGATCCTGTCTCAAAAAGATAAAAACAAAACAAAAAAATAAATAAAATAAAAATCCACCAAACATAAGTTAAAGCTACACTCACAACTGAATAAAACATTTAGTCTGTTACTTTATTATTATTTGGTGGGATAAATAACGTGAAAGAAAATCAAGCATTCAGGTGTATGCCTCTTTCCCCAGCAACTCTGTGGGCTAAGGCAGAAAGATGACTTGAGCCCAGAGGCTCAAGAGCAGCCTAGGCAACATAGTGAGAGTGTCTCAAAAAACGGCAACAAGTACAAATAATAATACAAAGAGCAAAGAAAATTGATTGCCTCTGATTTCAGAATTTTTGAAATTCAATATATAAAATTCTAAGATTTTAGATATTGCCTGTAGAATGGCAACACCTTCACTATAGCATGTTAAAACACTCTTTAAAATGTTTCATTTTTAAAATGTTTATAGAGATTATACCAGGCAGGGTGGCACACGCCTTTAATCCCAGCACTTGGGAGGCAGAGGCAGGCGGATCTCTGTGAGTTCAAGGCCAGCCTGGTCTACATAGTGAGTTCCAGGACAGCTGGGGCCATAGGGAGACCCTGTCTCAAAAAGACCAAAA